CGACGGATTCAACTCGGCTGGGCAGCGTTCGGGAAATTACGACACAGCTTCTCATCAGGTATACCTCAATCTCTGAAAACTAAAGTGTACAACCAGTGCGTGTTGCCAGTGATGACTTACGGATCTGAGACGTGGTCCCTCACCGCTGGCCGTATGAAGACGCTCAAGGTCGCTCAGCGAGCTATGGAGAGGGCTATGCTCGGAGTTTCACTGCGTGATAGACTCAGAAATGAGGATATCCGCAGTGAAACCAGAGTCACCGACATAGCCCAACGGATTAGTAAGCTGAAGTGGCAATGGGCCGGCCATATAGCTCGAAGGACCGATAACCGATGTGGAAGAAAGGTTTTCGAGTGGCAGCCTCGTACCGGTAGGCGTAGTGTAGGGCGACCCCCCACTAGATGGAGTGACGACCTGGTAAGACATGCAGGAAGTCGATGGATGCAGGTGGCTCAGGACCGTGCTTTGTGGCATTACTTGGGGGAGGCCTATGTTCAGCAGTGGACTTGTGAAGGGCTGTAATGATGATGATGATGATGATGAAGAAAGGATACAGATCAGAAATAGGTAACTATTGCCCAATAATAATAAATAATTTCAGCAAATTTACTTTTAATAATTAAATTTAGGTTATGACTAACAAGTAATATATTTTTAACTTTTCAGCTATTAGGTCACTTCATAAATAAGGTATGAACCTCTCCTTTGTACATCTGATTGAGTCTCTTGAACATTCAATATTAAAGGGTGGGCAGGTGCTGTTACTTCAACTCAGTAGCTGCTTGAGCTGGAGAAAAACGTCATTAACATTTTTAATTAAAGCTCAAGACACTCATCACACTGGTTTATACATAACCCTCAATTAAAATTTAAAAAAACACCCAGCACAAAATATATATACAGAGTCGATGATATTTAAACAGCTAAACACTCTTAATCAAGTCACCTTTCAAACAAAAAAAATTAAATCAAAATTTAATAAAAAAAATATAATGTCACAGACAAATCGACCCTTGGTTCTTATTAGGGATTAATTATTCCTCTTTTTGTTCAACATCACATGTTCACATTTATTCTACTATACATAAAAAGCTTAACAATTTGCCCAACCTGAGAATTGAATCCAAGACCTCACACATGGCATTTGGATTTTCAAAACTAGGTATTAACTATTTATGTTATGTAAGTTAAAAACAAATAATTGTTGATCCATATCTGCTATTTTAAATAAATTGCTGTCTCTGTTTCACATTTTGTAATATTAATTAAGACAAAACAAGAATGCTTGCAATGTTATATTATATTACATTATTTTTAATTTTTAATAAAAATAAGATTAAGATGTAATAAAGAAATTAAGATGTTACCTTGTAAAAAAGTACAGGAATTGCTAATTTGGTGAATCTATTTCTTGGACACTTATAAATGTCTTCTAAATGTTTATGACAGACAAGCTTGTTGCTATAAACATCTAAAGTGTTTACTATAGCTACATGACCGCCAATTTTGGACATCCACCTATTGAATTTTTCTGAATTTATGTCTGGATTTGGAAACCGATGTACAGGTAACCCTGAAAAAGCAGTAACAGGTGGTCAACAGTGTTGTTTTTGGAGACTCAAGTTACAATTAACCCTTTTCACTACTTATTTATTACAAATTACAATGTTATGATTCATTATCTACTCAATATGTTTGTGCGGCATCTAATATTAATATTATTAGATGTTTGATGACTATTTTTTACTTTGTTTTAAAGACAAATTTTTTAATTATCTAATTTTTCTAGGAATATCTAATGTAAAGGACACCTAAAGAACTTGCAATATGTATGCCTTACACTCAAGTGATAAAAAGGTAACCTATCATTTTTAATTGCAATAAATTAATGTCATACATGTTATCTCTTAGTGTAAAGAATATAGATGTTTCAATAAATCTTAAACATCCTTTTAAATGGCTTGTGATGGATTAAAAATTCTAATACAAATATTTCGCCTTAATTTTGTCTTCAATTTATACAAATACATTACTTTACAGAGATGGGATGCATTAAAATCTTTTAATATTTTAAAATAATTATTTTCATTTCAACTTGATTCCATACCAGATTCCCCAGCAACAACACTATACCAACAAGAAATGATCAATACATGGAGCATCTGAAAATAAAGTAAGAACCAAATGCAATGTCCCAAATAGCAACATAACAATTGAGGGTTTTCAGCAGTTATTAATATTATTGTATTAAGCTTTCCAAACAGAACACAACAACAATAGCATTGCTGTAATTTAAAATAAGACTTGCATTAAATTTTAAAAATGTTAGTTTATATTTATTTGTTTTCTATTAATTGCTAGAAACAGATTTTTTTGTTCTCTGTAAATATAATTTTAAGTTTTTAATTTCAAAGTCTTATCGTTTGATATATAATCAATATGTTTTTGATTCTTGAGTCGCACTACTACAACCGCTCGACCAACGACTGCCTTGTTGGTCTAGTAGTTGTAGTAGTGTGACTGCTGATCATGAGATCCTGGGTTCGAATCCCAGGTGGGGACAAAAAAATCAATTATTGAGTTTTTTCTGTCAAGAAATTCTCAGTAGCTTCCCGGAGTCAGGAAGTTGGTGGTGTCTCACCCCCGTGCCTCGGAAAGCACGTAAAGCCATTGGTCCTGATTATGAGAGTAAGGGAACAGAGAGTGCACATGTGCTTGCGCATACACTTGGGCACTATAATCCTGTCCCGCGCCGATGGCTAGCCTCCGTGGCCGAAATTCGGTCTGGAGGACATTATTATTATTGGGGTATCTATATAATTTTCTCACCTGGTTGGGTTCTATAAATATATAATTATAAATTAAAATGAAAAGATAAATGTACATAAATATCAATAAAATAAAATAAATACAAAAACTACATAAATAAATAAGATCCAACCAGATGGGAGCCCTCGGCAGGGGAGACCAGACGGCCGAGGGTTAGGGTGAAAGGGAAAGAAACCGGCGGACGATGCGGACGGTATCGAGGAGCACCCCCTTCTGCATTTGAGCCCGGAGCCGTCCGTCACGGAGTCCCAGTTGCCTCAGATGACCCGAGAGGCTGACTGGGATCAGCCCATTCGCAGAGACGACTACAGGAATAATTTCGGTCGACACACCACCCCACATATCGGTCACCTCGTGAGCCAGGTCCAGATATTTTGTTTGTTTATCTGTTTCGGCTTTCACGAGGTTCTCGTCATACGGAATGGTAACGTCGATCAAAAATATCCTTGACTGTGCCCGGTCCATCAGCACAATATCAGGCTTATTCGCAAGAATAGTCCTGTCTGTGATGATGGCCCGGTCCCAGTAGAGCCTGGCGCGGTCATTTTCGAGCACGGCTTCCGGCAAGTACTTGTAATACGGCAATTTCCGGTCCACGAGACCGTATTTCAGAGTGAGCTCCTGGTGTAGAATTCTGGCTACTAGGTTGTGCCTGTGCAAGTACTCAGAGTTAGAAAGCGCCGAACAACCGGAGATGACATGCCTAAGTGACTCCCCGGGATGGCGACAAGCTCGACAGATGCCGACAGTGCCATCCTTTAGGATGTATCTCCGATAGTTGTTGGTCTTAATAACCTGATCCTGTATTGCTCAGATAAAACCCTCGGTTTCCCCGAAGAGGTCAACGAAACGTAGCCAGTTGAGGGAGGCGGCTGTATCTACGTGAGGCTCATGTAGAGCCCTGTAGTACCTCCCATGGAGCTCCTTCTCCTTCCATACGGTCGCCCGGTCGGAAATGCTCTGTACTGCCGGGTCTTGCCATTGCTCGTTGGCTAAGGATAGAGGCATGACCCAACCGTTATATGCATTTGTCTTATACACACCGGACAAAAGGCTGTTAAGCACTTTGGTCAAGCGTGCATAAAACACGTCGCAAACTGACTGTTTCATACCAGCCTCATCGATACCGATGTTCTGTGACATACCCAGGTATCGGTATGTTTCAGCCTAGGAAAGGGCCCTTAAGTTGACGGGCATAGATAAGTCTATGCCCTCAGAGTTAGCAACCCTTCCCCTTTCAACATGGAGGACCGCACACTTATCCGTCCCCAGCTCCATTCCAATAGAATTGCTAAATTCACAAGTGATGTTTAGCAATCCCATAAGATGGGAGCGACTGGAGGCGAATAATTTGAGGTGATTCATATAGAAAAGGTGGGTTTTGTACCTCCCTTCCGAAGCTGAAATCCCCTCCCGGAGCCCTCCAGTAAAGTACTGAGAGGGTTCAAAGAGAGGCAGAACCAGATTGAACTCAGACAGTCGCCCTGGAATATACCCCTTCTTATTGTTATGCGGCTTTCCGCAGCCGTCATCCGCTCGCCCAGATGACAGAGGATCGTACTCCACTGCCCCATACACTGCCCGAGGAAGTCTCGAACTGTACAGTCAACCTTGTACAGCTCGAGGACCCTATTTAGCCATGTATGGGGCACCGAGTCAAATGCCTTTCTGTAATCTATCCAAGCGGCGAAGAAGTTCCGACGGTTGCGTTTCACCATTTTGCCAATGACCGCATCAATGAGGAGTGGTTCCTTGGTTCCACGACCGCCGCCCCGACATCCATTTTGAGCGCGCGACATCACCTGATTTGAGTCCAGGTGACGAGCGATTCTCGTGCTCAAAATGGATGTTAGTGTCTTGTATATAGTCGGTAGACACGTAATGGGGCGGTATTTGCTCGGGTCTGTGGCACCCTGATCTTTAGGAACCAAATGAGTGATCCCAGTAGTGAAGAGGCTTGGGAGCGAATTCTGGTTGAGAGCCTCTTGAAACTGTCGGGCGAGCAAAGCGTGACCCACCATGAACCCCTTCAGCCAGTAGTGATGTAGCCCGTCAAGCCCCGGACTTTTCCAGTTCGGGATCCTACGGACCGCCTCAGCTACGTCATCCGGCGTTATGATGATGGGGTCCATGGGCGTAATACCCGCACACTGACTCACCACAACCTCCGTCTAAGGGCCCTCGTTGGGGTTTACGGGCGCTGACCTCAGGCTGCGCCAGAATGCGACCGTGTCGGCCTGATTTGGTGCTGGGCCCGTTCCACTTACTATTGGTCGCTCCAATGATTTGTAGAGCCTCTTCTGATCACTCTGGAAGAGACGATTCTGGTTGAACCGTGTCGATCTCTCGGTATATCGCCGAATCCGCTTTCCCCAAGCAGCGATTCTTTGCTTCAGGTCGTCTATGCGCTCCGTCAGTTTTTGCGTTATATCCGGCTGGGACAAACTAACATTTGTCCCAGCAAACGCCATCGTGACGGTGCGCACAATTCTTGGTCTGGTATTGCCTGACCTGAAGCATATCAGTCTGCCGATGAGGGCCCTAGCCCTTGCGATACGTTCTTCAATTCTTATTCTCCAGGCTGGGATAGCACTACTTTGTCCAGTAGCGCGTCCAGCCGTGGAAAGTTTGGTGCCTATAATACGGCAGACTGCCAGTGCGGCGCCAAAAAGAATTGAGTCCGTCTCGCAAAGGTCCCGGCTGGCTTCCAAGTAGGTAACCAGCATTGGGTTCAGAGCCCTCACGACAGCCCGATTCCGCTTGCTTAGGGCTAAGCGGGGGAAGTCGTATTATTATTATTATTATGTTTTTGATTATGTTAAGCTATATTATAAAGTTTCAAATACGAAAAAATAGATTTAATGTGGATTTAGTACGTAGGTAAGAATAGATAGAATAATGGTGATAGACTGATAAAAAATTGTTTGTATTAAATTGTTTAATTTGTATCAGAATTTTATTAACAAATCATTATTAAAAAACGACAACTGAACTCAGGAAATAAAGTAAATGGGGATCTATTGTGGAGTCAAAATGTGTCAAAAAAGGCATGTATGGTAATTTAATATTGCTGTGTTAATCTTTACTTTAATGTATGGTAGTGAAAGTTGGGTGTGGCAGAACAAGCTTGAGAGTAGTATAACTGTCATAATAAATAATAAAAATGATTTATTAAAAATTTGGATTTTTATGTTTACTTACGTATGATACCTATGTGATTCCATCCTGTTTTTTTATTCCTGGAAGATTGGTTTTTACACCCTTTTACAACACAATTCGGCATTTTTTCTTTAAAAACTGCGAATTATTATAGAGTGACGCTCCGTGCGCTGGAATAGCTCGAATAACAGGGTAAGGCGTTATTTCGTTTTATGTGTGTGTGTGTGTGTGTGTGTGAAACTGTGTATGTACAAGGCGAGGCGTTGTTTTACCGGCCTCAGTGCGTTGTTCGGTGAGGCTCTGTCTTGAGTTTTTATTTCATTTATTTCGTCTGAGCACTATAGCAACGGGCTAAATTTTAAAGAACGTGCCGAAAAATATTAGTGGGATAGACGACTTTTCGAGGTTATATTTACTAAATAAAATTATTTTAGATTTTAGAGCTACTGAGCAGTTTATCAGCACACTTCAAACCGTTGATAACTGCTAAGTTCATTTCATCCCAGTAGTTACTCCAGCGCTGTTGTGGAGAGTTTTTGAACTGTTATTTACTGCTAACAGATTACCATTTTTTCAACTATTCTACTATGGGAGTTGGTACTCCTTACTTCTACACTCCATAGTTCCTAGTTCCTACAGCATGGTTGTAGAATGGTTGTTGTTGTTACGATTTGCCAATTAAGGCAAGCAAAGGTTTCATACAATGCAGCATAGTCTGATTTGTATTTTCCTCACAAAACTTTTCACAAGATGCTGATTTACTACAGCGTAGCCTAGTGGACTGTTGTTAATTACAATATTTTTAGGCTCCAAGCGGATAAAATACCTAAGATTTATATCACCAGCGAAGCTAGTATACTAACGAAATGTTACATACGCAGCCATTTAAGTCGCACCACTTTTACGTATTAAAAACCATTTTAAACTACTATTACGCCTCTCATGACATTCACAGGGTAAAATTGATAAATGAATTACTATCTCTTTCTCTCTCATTCTCACCGCATTGCAATGAAAATCATCAAATAATAATATTGAATCTATTTAAAAAAACTACGTTTAGAAGTTTAGATCTGCTCCATGGTACCATAGTATTGAAGTATTATCGAAGATGCATAAGTATTCCAAACTTTAGTTCGAATGATGTCAGCAAATTTTTCAAAATTGATAAACTAAGTATCAACACGTAAATGATATAGAAAATCTTTAATAAAATTACTTTTAAGGATTTTATCGCATTTAATTTTACTTGTTTATTATTCCCGATGTTTCGAAGGATATTTTTTACCAAGTGTTATCCTTAGAAGAAATCGATGTTATCGATGTTCTTTCCCGAGGATCAGTGGTCTATCAAACATGACGTAATGTTGGAGGCCGTCTACAATATGACCACAGATTGCAGAAGTTTGGTGTTACACGTCAGCTATGTGTTCTTTTCTTTAGATAATTTTGTTTGACTTATTAAAAAATTGCCATTTTGACAAAAGCTTTTAGTCTCCTGTCTTGTAGAGGGATATTAAATATACTTGACGGATGGTTAGATCTAACTTATCTTCTTCGGTGTCTTGTAGAATGTTCTAATACAAGCTCGCTTCATGGTGTAGCCAACCTCTTGCCTGTGACTCTTCTGACACACCGACATAATGTTAGTACAGTAGACATACCCCGAAGCTTGTTGTTGTACAATACATGCTTAACGTGCTTAAGCTCAGTAGCCAGGTGTTTGCTGTCACAAATCACTTGTGATTTCTGAAACAAAGATATTCCCACGGTAGTGAGCTGTGAAAGATGATAGCAAGATTCACCATTTAAGTATCAGTTAGTACGGATCTTTTCCCTAACACAATGTGAGCTTTGCATCTGCTATCGCATATTACCCAGGGAAGTGCTCTAAGGAATTGTTCGGATTAATCCCAGCCGCCAAATTCCATGAACGCACGTCGCGACAAAATCGCGATACCACCCAAACCACCTGGATTCTTGACGGTCCATCAGTGTACGTTTCACTCTACGTTACACAACCCTCTGTGGAATCGTTTACCACCGGCATTTTTTCCGCACCGATTCGACTTGAACCTTCAAAAAAAGTGCTTACTCCTTTCTACAAGGCTGGCAACGCACCTGCAATTCCCCTGGTACTGCAGTTGTTCATGGGCGGCGGTAATCACTTACCATCAGGAGAGCTGCATGCTCGTTTATTTTACCTATGCTCGTTTGTATATTCTATAAAAAGCTATGGTGTTGTTAAGATTTCATACGACTTACTCATCTAGGAAAACTAAAATTTTTTTGGCTCTAACTTTAGTTAAGTTTAGTGAGAAGCACAGATATAATAGCAAAAACTTATATCCTATTCTTATAAATACATAAAACGTTCATACATTTATATTTTTCTGTATTCTATATTTCTTTTTGCTAAATTTTAAATAAAAATTTTAGTTTTCCTTTACAAACGAATAAAACTGCATTAAAACCAGAGACATATTTAACTTTATTAAAGTGAACATAGCTTTGATAAAACACTGACACTGGAGCGATATCAAATTAATATAGAAACTAGAGACGTTAAAAGAGAAAAATGAAACCGCAGCTCGGAAATCAAGTTTCTTGGGTGCTTGAAACTTCTAAATGAAAAACGCGGTCAGAGATAACTATTAAAATCAGTTACCGAGCAGAAAAGCTTAGTAGATATAACGGTTACATAAGTCACTCATTCACAAATTCCATTGCTGTAAAGAAAACAAAGTAAGAATTTTAAATTGGAAACATAATCTTATATAATTCGTATTGCTAATGAACTTCGATAATTCTAGTGAGATTATTAGGACATAGTCTTGAAAATATTGTATTGTCATCAGTTTTAAATACATATAAAAAAAATTATTCAGACTTTTCAGATTCAGGAAGTGGGTAAACATTGAATTTTAAAACTACTTTATAGTCATTCATACAAAAAGCACAAACAGTTTTGCTATTACAAAGCGTGTTAAAGTTGAGCCTTATGGTCTCTTCCTAAGATAACCTATCACCTCTATAAAACTAAGGACTATGGAAAAGGCTAGAAAGTCACTTGCAATAGATGAATGTAAAACTATTTAAATTTTCTTCTGGTATATTACAATTTGCATGAAGAAATTGCCAAGCTAATTAAAAGAATCATGTGTTACTTTGTGGAAATACATAATATTAAAGATGTGAAAGTTAACTAGTTAAATTCCACACGAGAAATCACTACTAATCCAAACACTATACCTTACCCACCACTGGTGCTAGGATTAGGGGTTACGGGGATAGTGCACGCAATTGAGGGAGGGCAGAAAGATACTTTTCAAACTACGTCAGACACCACTAAGCCTAGCCTAAAAAAAGACACCACTTTTTACGCTGATCTAAACTAATTAATTTTAGCATCTGTCTTTCCCAAACTGGCAAAGAGAAGCAGTATCATAGTTGTCAGACATCTGGTACCACTATTGCAAGTCCTGCCAAGCAAAGTGGTTATTGCAAATCATCCCTGCAATTGCACCGACTTATGTCCGGCCGTGGACTGTTTTATTAGAGTAATTGTGATAAAACAGTACAAAGTCCACAGTGTCGATATAATAAATAGTGGGCTAGATGGTTAACCCGTTAGCCTAAAATATGTACGTAGTACATAATAGCTCAATGATACTAAATCAATTTTTCCATGAATAGAATAGAATATAATGATTTTTTGACTTCGCACCTTCGATCAACAATACCAATTTACACATACCATGTTGGTATTGTTGATCGAAGCATCGCACGGGTGATTTCTGGATCTCAACAACAGCGCCACCTATCGCATTCAAATGTAAATCTAATCCATCTTGGGTCCCATTCAAACATACAAATTTCATCAAAATCGGTCGAGACGTTTTTGAATTTTAACGAGACCAACGGACATCAATTGATTTTTTGGACTAAGATGGAATTCCTCGTTTCCACTAAATAGGGTCTCGGGTTTAAAATGTGAACATCTACCTAGTATTTAAAGTATGAAAATCTTTATTCTGCTTAATTAAGCTGTTCATGTTTTTATTTATCATATTTATGTATATACATTATATTTGCATAAATGTATTGCAATTGCCAGAGTTAATAAATTTATTTATTTAAATTAAAACCTTTGCTGACTGAAAACCCTCAGTAAAACTGAAAACCTTCAGTTGACGTAGTCATAGAAAACTGTAGCAGGTAAAGAATTTAACCTCGCGTTGCGCGGAATCCGCAGAATCTTTGTGCTTCGACCTTAAATAAAAGACCCGTAGGGGGAACAAACAAATTTACATGGAATTTAATTTCGCACAAAATATTGTATTTTAGAGAAATTTTTAACGCTCGACTATTGACTATTGATACTCCTAAAAGTGCTCGTAAATCATAAAATATGCTCGTAAATAATAAATTAATTTGATTTTGATGGAGAATTTTAAAAAACTTGAAGTTCCAGTTCTTGTTTGTTTTTAAGTATCGCTTAAAAAACAAGATCCTTAATATAGAACCTTACAATATTTTTTGATAATATGCATGTTTTAATTAGATT